TAGGCAGCACACTCCATATGCCGGGTGGTTGGTCATTCGTTCATACTAATAGCATGGTGAATTCCTTTTGTGTGCTATTTTGAGGAAAGAAACAAATATATTGCAACAAAGGAGCAACAAAGTAGCAGACAAAGGGTATTTGTAACAGTTGGTGAAACCTGTATTTTGTTTAAGTTTAATCCTCGATAGAGAGGGAATTGAGTGTTAGTAAGAGCTCAGACGAGCTAGGCTTTTGTTTGCCGGGATTTCTGTTAACTTATTATTTCTTTAGTTTTGCTCCTGCCTCCTGAGTGAATTTCAACTATAAAGTGCCTGGATTTATGTTAACTCAAAAGACTGCGCATGTTTATACCCTAGAGTACCATGCTATTTGCAATACAGGATCACAATATACACCTATACATACATCCACACACAAGTGCCAATACATGTCCCTACACATGTTCAAATGTGCCTACACATACATAGACCCATATATATGTATATGTACACATACACCTATTCACATATACACACATCTATACATATATGCACACACTTTATACATACACACACACTCACAACCCAGCTGCTTCCTAACGGCCTATCCCTGCTCTTGAGACAACCCCCCTTGGTCACTGGTTATTCCACTTCCTTGGATGGATGCTGCTCCCTGACATTTGCTCCTTTGCAACATGAACTGGATGCACAATTGTGTACTGCTTTGGACAGTCGACCAGGATTAAAGATGATTGCACTTAAGGGGACATGCATAATGTAGGATCTCTGCACATGCAAGTATAACTTTTCATGCACTTGGAATGTGGTCCACCTCCCACACACTCTCACAATTACATACTCAATGGCTTTGACAACGCAGGGACGACTCTTTTTCACCTTATAGATAGGGAATTGTATATTGACGCAATGGGGGGAGAAATCTATGGGTACACATGCACTCCTAACCTTTTCTGATAGGCCTTAGTGGGAAGGGATAATTGACAGCTATATTTTACCAGTCTGACAGACACCCCCTTACACAGGATGTATGCAATTGTTTGCTATGATATAATCGATGGTAATTCACAATGTTATTGGTTAGTTTTAACTGTTGTTGTTCTTCTTCTTTTTCTCAACTCTTTATGAATATTGCTTCCATAATCTTTAATTCTACAAAGGTAAGATATAGACTGTTGCGCTTGCCATATCCATGATGAGTGCCATGCCTCCATGCTTGCAGAATGCAGGGGGTGGATACTAACCTACATTGATCTCTCACCTACTCTAGTGCCACTGGCTGGTGGCCTGTCTTGACTACAACACTCACTGCCCCACGGGTCTACTGCCATTAGTCTGGGACTTGGATGATTGGGGAAACTTACCCACACATCCACCTACCAGCGGCACATCACCCCTAATACTAGTCTCTATTGCGACACAAATCTTCATATTCTTTTTGCCTCACTCCTCCTTTATATCTGCTCTTTCTCACATTTTCTCTAACTTCCTTACTTCTAAACTTAATTCACCCTACGTTCCGCCCCTACTTATTTCACCTGCTCCTTCACCCTAACTCTCTTCTTCTACTCGCTTGCCCTGCACCTGCTATCCACTCCTGTTGCCCTCTCTTTACCATGGGCCCACTTTCTCTCCCCCTGGCATCAGGAGGGATATGTGAGAGGGCATCATACTCTACACGATCAACGCAAGGGGTCTCAACTCCCCACATAAACGGGCGAGAGCACTACAAGAGATACGTGCACTCCGATTATCGATTGCCTTCTTTTAGGAGACCCACTTCCTTGCAGACCAGGCTCCCAGGTTCTCCAATTAATATTACCCTACTGGCTACTTTACACACAATTCTGCCTGGAAGCGGAAAAAGCGGAAAAAGCGGACAAGAAAGGCAGATATCTCTTCCAAAAGGGAAAAATAGGTGACTCCCAAATCACACTCGCAAACATCTACCTGCCAAATAAGGGTCAAAAGCCTTTCCTTATGTACACTGGAATCATTCAGAGATAGTTCCATCATTCTGGGATGGCGGGATTTTAATGTTCCTCTAGACCCCAGGTTAGACACTTTGAAAGGGACCTCCACAATACTGGATCATGTCCTTAGGGGTATGAAGACCCTCCTCTCTGACAACCAGCTCTCAGACTGCTGGAGTATTCTACACCATGCCAACAAGGATTACACTTGTTTATCTACACCACATGGATCCTACTCTAAAATTGATTACTTTTTCATTCAACACAGAGATCTGATTTCGGCTCATATAGCACCGATGTCCTGGTCGGACCACGCACCCGTGATCCTCTCCATTGATAGCCCTCGACCATTTCGGACAAGTGAATGAAATTAGAAGATCCCTTGATACAGGCAGATGTTCAATCTACTATGGAGCACTTTTTCCTCATCAATAAATCCCCGGAGTCTACACCTTCATCCATCTGGGAAGCAAACAAATGTGTAATTAGAGGGTTTCTCATTAAATGCAGAACCTGATCTGAAAAAATTGTGGTATCAGGAAATCTCACATTTAATTAATCAGCTAACCCACTTGGAAAACCAACACAAAACTACTCTAAATGAAGATACCTACAAATAACTCTTAGAGACCAGGGTGAAACTCAATTCTTGCTTGACATTGAAAATCTAATTCCACTTTCGTCTCACTAAAAAAGCCTTCTATGAATATGGGAACGAGAGCAGAAAGATGCTAGCGAGAGCACTATGAGCATGCAGACAAAAAAGCCATGTAGAGAGGATCTCGCACGCAGGGCAAACATTCCTCACTCCCACGACCATTGCAGAGGGCTTTTGACAATACTACTCCTCGCTGTACTGCCTACCCCCTCATACACCACTATCGAATACAGGTGGCAAGAATTTCCTCGATCAACATTGTGTGTTACTTGACAACCAAATTGGATACTCAGTCTATCTCTGCCCTGGAGGAACAGATCACGACCTTCTAACTCTATTCATCAATATTCAAGAAGGAAGCTTGCTGGACCCCAATATACTTCTGGCCCACGTGGAGCTGCTGCCTAAAGAAGGAAAAGATCCCATCTGCTGTGCCAGCTACTAACCAATCTCCCTGTTGAACGCCGATCTAAAACTCTTCACAAAAATCTTGGCCCTTCGCATTCTGCCCCTGTTGCCGGGCCTTTTCCACCCTGACCAGGTGGGTTTCATTAAAGAACCAGAGGCAAGAGATAATACAGTCAAAGCACTCAATCTGATTCACGCGGCACAGACCTGAACTTCGCCCTCCTTCTTGGTCTCAATAGATGCGGAGAAGGTGTTCGACAAGGTTGATTGGTCCTTCCTAATGTCTGCCCTTAAGCACATTGACTTCGGTCCACATATGATGGCATGGATCTCGGCCCTATACAGCGGCTGCTCGAGTACTCGTAAACAGGATTCTTTCCAAGCTATTCGATATCAAAAATGGCATTAGACAGGGGTGCCCATTGTCGTTCCTGCTCTTTGTTATTAGATTGGGACCATTTTTAAATGCAATACGAGCAGAAACACCAAGAGATAAGTCAACGCTAATTACAACACAAAATACCAGAAGGTAGCAACCTAAAAAAGACCCTTAAAACTAATATAAAGCAAGACAAGACATAGAAAGGTTGCGCCAAAGATAAAAAATATATATATATACAGATAATAAAAGACTAAAAACGGAGGACAGCGGATAGAGCAATAAATGTGATTAGAGATATGATATAAGTAAAAATAATGGTAGTACACTCAAATTTATGTGAGCTGTAGCCAGCTCAAGCATAATAGACATACAGCGGTATAATCCCCACTTTTAGGATATGCAGCAAGTGTCCACCTCATGAGCAATATCCAAAACTCAAGAAAGGGATAAAAAGACAAGTAATAGTGCTCTCAATATAAAAATATCAATAGATAAAATTAATAAAAATGTACTTACAAGGAAAGAGCAGGCTAATTGCTCTATGGTATCAACATTGGTGGTATGATCCCCACCTAGGATTGCTTGGAGTACAGGAAAAGTAAAATGCCAGGACGTAAAATCAGTGTAGAAAAAGAGATACTTGGCAAAAGGTAGTGACCAAAAAACCTTTAATATACAATAATAAAATATCCAAACGCTTTTTGCCTAAGGTTTCTTCAAGTGGATAGAGTAGTATACATCCTGGCAGTTGGTATTTTAGATAGGGCTAAAATGGTTAAAATTGTCGCCACAATTAGGTTTGCTAATTAAAAATTTACATTATACATAGTTGACATAAAAAAAAGACATTTTTAAATTTAGTACTTTAATTAAATGCTTTTTGTAATAAAACAAATAAAAAATGACGGGTTTAAAGGCTAGTATAAGTAAAGTCACATGACACATGGCATTAATTTCTCTGGCAGCATGGGTAGTATATTAGATTGTGGCCATATTTTGGTTGGCGGCCGTATATGCCAGCGGCCATATTGGGAGTGGTGTTGCGGCAAGAGCCGAGCGCGCATTCAAACAGTCCATAGGAAAGCATTTTTTAATGCTTTCCTATGGACGTTCTGCACGCTGGATGTGACATGGAAGCGCCTCTAGCGGCTGTCAGGAAGACAGCCAATAGAGTTTCTCTGAAGCCGCTATGTTTACATCTGAAGGGTTAAAACCTGGGGGACCAGTAAACCCAGACCACTTCATTGAGCTGAAGTGGTCTGGGTGACTATAGTGTCCCTTTAAAAATATCCTAGGTAAAAGTGAAATGGAATGGGTATTCAATCTACAGACACTCACACCCCATGGCCTCAATGCAGAATTTGATTTATTTAATTTTATATAATGTCATTATGCCTTTTACTGTGTACCTCCTCCTCACTCCTACTTTTCTCGTTTATTTTATTTTTAATATTTCCCATCGGTTTAATATATACATTATTGCAACATGTTTCTGTATATTATGCATCCATATATTGTATTTATATGCATATGTACTTATGTATATGCCCATCATCCCCTTTTATATACACTTAATAGCTACATGTCGCCCCTTCCCATTATTGCCAGCCATCCTATTATAGGACTGACTGCTGCCATTCCCATCATGGCCGCCGCCATTCACCACACAGCAGCCGGCCACTACAATATACGTGCTGACGCACACCCTGCCCCATTGCGGCCACCAATCCCATTAGGGGAGCGCCAGCCGCCATCCCCAATATGGCCGCTATTCAGGCTGCCATCCAACGATGCCCCACAGTGCTACTATTATGTGTGCCGACATCGTCATAGACATGCCGGCGCACACCACAATGTCCCCTCTAATGGCCAACCAAGGCCTCAACTTAACCTCCCAACCTCCCACTATGACCGCTGACATGTACCGCCGCCAAGCACAATATAGCCGCCGTCTAATATATTACCCATGCTGCCAGAGAAGTTAATTTCACGCGTCACATGACTTTACTTATTTTACTTATACCAGCCTTTAAACCTTCGTTTTTAATTTGTTTTATTACAAAAAGCATTTAATTCAAGTACTAAATTAGAAATATGTCTTTCTTTCTTCTTTTATGTCAACTATGTATATGTTAATTTTTAACTGGCAAACCTAATTTTGGCGCCAATTTTAACCATTTTAGCCCTATCTAAACTCCAACTGCCAGGTTGTAAACTACTCTATCCACTTGCAGACTAAACACTTTTGGATATTTTAATATTGTGTATTAATTAAAGTTTTTTTGGTCAATAGCCTATGCCAATTATCTCTTTTCTTTTGCACTGATTTTACGTTGTGGCATTTTACTTTTCCTCTACTCTAAGCAATCCTAGGTGGGGATGATACCACCAATGCTGATACCATAGAGCAGTTAGCCTGCTCTGTCCTTGTAAGTACATTTTTATTCATTTCATCTATTGATATGTTTATATTGAAAGCACTATTAGTTGTCTTTCTATCCCTTTCCTGAGTTTTGGATATCGCTCCTGAGGTGGACACTTGCTGCATATCCTATAAGTGGGGATTATACCGCTGTATGCCTATAACGTTTGAGCTGGCTATAGCTTGCATAAACGTGAGTGTACTACCATTATTTCTACTTATATCATATCTCTAACCACATTTATTGCACTATCCGCTGTCCTCCATTTTTTGTCATTTATATTTGCATACAGAGCGCTCGGATATATTTACTCATTGTTTCAACTGATGATATTTCATTTTTCTATCAAGTACTTTATATTGACTCTCATCTATGATTTATAGTCACCTATAGAAGGGGATATCTTACTGGGACTATATCTACTATTGATATTATCTGTATATATATTTTGTATCTTTTGCGTAACCTTTCCTTGTCTTGTCTTGTTTTACAATATGAGCACAGCCTCAAATAGAGGGCACTGGGAGAAGTTGGGGAGTGAGCAAGATTTCAGCATATGCAGATGAATTCCTGTTCTCCATCACAAACCCTAAAACCTCACTGAGAGAGATTATGCATCAATTTGATACATATGGATGTCTGTCCAATTTAAAAATAAATTTCTCAAAATCCGAGATCCTCAATGTGGGATGTTCCTGAGTGATGGTGACCTCGCTAAGGGCAGAGTTCCCTTTCCAGTGGTGCAAAGAGGCAATTAAATACTTTGGGGTCTGGCTCTCCGCAGAGCTGTCCGATATCTACCACATTAACTTTCCATCACTCCTAAATAGGATAGAAAAGAATCTGAAATCATGGACACTACCCCACATTACATGTCTTGGCAGAATAAACGTCCTCAGCCTGAATGTGCTCCCGTGCTTCTTGTGTCTTCTGCAATCTTTACCGGACCATAACCCCAAAACATTTATATCACAAATTCGCAAAACGATTGCAAGGCTGAATCTCGCCACCCTCACCAAGCCTACCGGACCTAACTAAATATCAGCAAGCCATTCCTCTCCAGAGAATTATTGAATGGACACATGCCCCAAAACACAAACTCTGGATCTCCATAGAAGCAAGTTTCACAAAGGTACCTCTGCCCCTTCTCCCATGGCTAATGTGAGAAATGACAGGGAGGCTGCCGGATAACATCAGACTCTGAACACCAGTATGACAATTTGAAAAAGGATGTCTTCCCACAGAGACCAAGCCCCGGCATTGTCTCCATTATGCCTTATATCACACAATCCACAATTTAGTCCCGCAACATCCACTCACTGCATCATGGGCTTGGGGCTACTGACCCCATGCAGATTAAAGGATGTATATATCCAAGGCGCAATCACACCACTGGTGGAGCTGGTTTCACATCTACCACTGGTGAGATTTTTGAAGAGCATTCCCATCTATCCTCGGCCTCAAGAGCACTCTCCACATTTGAAGCCATCTACGCCCATCCTCCACCACTGTCAAATGTGATTTTGCTATTGTACAGCCTACTGAACACCCCACACTATGCTCCTCTCCCCTACTTCACTAAATACTGGGAGAAGGACCTGGGATACTATCAGCTGAACAATAGTCTCCTGTTTCCATACTCCTACACAAATCCAGAAATTGGGATACAAGATGATCTCCCATTGGTACAGAATGCCAGAAAGGCTGACCGCTATGAAGCACAATTGTGATGCGGGAGAGAACTAGGTACACTCTATAACATATGGTGGACATGTTCACTCATCAGACCTTTCTGGGAGACATAGTGTCCATTCATCCATTACAGACACAAAGCTACAGTTCACACCGGAAACATATCTGCTTCAGCTAACCACACTTCCATTACGCAGTTTTAAAAAAAAAATCAGTCATCCCTCATCTGCCATGTCACTGGAAACAAACTACGACCTCAGCACTAAGAGAGTGGATGAACAGAGTGGAGTACATCAGACACTTTGAAGACCTTATCCTATCTGCAGCAGGACGTACACAAACGTACCATGACACTTGGTACCATTGGCTTCGCTGGTTGTCTTCCGCTACCAATACGGGAAACTCATAGCTGTCGAAGGAAAACAAGTGACTACTTGTTCCACCCGGAACCAGAAGCGGATCCCTAAGCAACCCAATAACTGGATAGACAACCTATCACAGATTCATAGACGCCACACTGGTATCATCTTAGAAAGAAATAGTCCTAGTGGATGCCGGGGATTGTTGGGCCTGGCCCTGGGGGGTAATGGGAGGGGGGGAGACTGAGGTTCAATCCCTCTACTTTTCCTCTACTCTCCTCACTCTAAGTCATGACACTGTATACACCATCTTCTCCATTTATTTTCTCTATCTTCCTTTCTCCCTACTACATTGTTTTCACAGTTTTCTCTCTACCTTACCAACCATCTACGTAATTAAAATATGTCATATATTTACACAGAGGCGTCCACATACACTTTACCTCTCTCACATTGGAGAAGCAACCCGACCATCACTACACCCATGCCCACACCTGGGACTGCCTACGAGCAAAGTGTAAAACAACCAACCCTGGTCTAGCCAGGGCTCAGCCGTCAGATCTGGATAGCTCAAATTGCAGGTGACCAGGCCTTCCAAGTACCTGTCAATCACTTACCTCTCAATCACTTGCAATTTGGCTTTGTAACGCTGTAATTACTGCACAGTACTGTGCTGTCTCACCGATACATCACTTTACAGGCACATATCAAAGAAGAAAAACAAAAGCAGCACTCCAGGATATAGCTCTTAGGAGCTGAAACGTCACACTTATTTTGGTGTGGTGGTGAACCCACAAATACATTCACCTTCTATATTCTGGATTGCTGCCTGTGTTTTTCTTCTTTGATACTACATTTGTGGATTCAGCGGTGTCCATCCTACACACAGCCCCCTAGGTGGAAGGTCGGAGCATATGTGCAGGACCTGAGTGCAGGGTATTCTGTTTTTCCAGGCACATATGTCTGCCCTAAGCTATGCAATGCCGTACTGTCATTGTATTACCCATGAGTATGCAGGTTTAGCTTTACAATACTACCTCAGCGGTTTTACCTCTGGTTTCTTGGCAGAAGCAAGATGTGTGTTATTGTGCAGTACAATGCCATTTTACCACTGTGTTGTATCGTCAATACAGATGCCTTTCTTGTATGATGGTATAATACTTTTTCTATACTTATGCATTTCCAGATACACTGCATATTTCTACTGTATGTACTGTGAACTAATAAACTTTGAATGAAAAAAAAGAAAAGAAAAAAGGAAAGAAGGAGAAAAATAAATAAAAACGTGGAAAAAAAACACATGCACAAATATATATATATATGTATACACATACACATACATATACATACATATACATATACATACATACATACAAACACATATCCATACATGCACATGAACTCATATACACAAATATAAATGCACAGTCACATATATAAGCATACATGCATACGGGTATGGGAAAGCATAGGTCTATACATAGTACTTTGTATATTGATAGAATAAACCTATAATTGGAATGCATTTTAAAATGTTGATACAGATAACAGAATAGTAAGATAATGCTGAGGGAGTGTTCATGTAAAGTGCGAGTGTTCTTTTCTTACTGTTAAACAATTGGATCATTCTGGCTTGAAAAGTTTTTCTTTCTTGGGTATTTTTAAAACCCCTTTTCAGTACTTTGATTTATATATTTATATATTCAGATACTTTATTACGTCTACTCCCTCCTTACCCTATATTCTACTGAGAATCACCATTTCTGATTCTAACTATCTCAGATACGACATTTACAAATCCTATATCTTAGCCCCTGTTAGCAGATAATACTGGCTATCAGGGATTTAGGTTGTCCAAATAGTATATGTTTTCTGGTCTTAAGCCATAGGCTAGTGCTTCCGCGAGGCCAACACCTATCCTCATACGCTGAGATATACGCCCATGAGTCCAAAGCATAGTTATTCGCCTTGCATGGTTGCATAGAAAGAGCCTCATGCTATCTTCTGCTTTAATTATCACTGAGAGGCCAACACCCCACCACAACGTTCGGTGGCCTCAATGCATAGTTAGAGCCTCTCACAGCGCTTGGCGACTTGCAGGGCCTCACCTGTCATCTGTGGTAGTATCATTTTTCACCGCTTGGCATTTGCTAACAAGCCAGTACCAGGCTTCGTTGTCTCACTCATGGTAATTACAGATATAAATATATATTTCAGTATGTCTCAAGTTCCCGAAGTACCAGAAGAACCCCTGCTAGGTCCTGTACCCCTGCCCCTAGTCCATCTTTCAAGGATTGTGGACTATTCCACGTCTCATAGCAGAGCTCCTTAGAAGATGTATTCCTTTCCCAGCTACTGCCAGGAAAGCAGAGTTATTCAGACTTTTCAATACCAACACCGACAACTCGGATACAGGGGATGTTCCTACTATGATGACCTTGTTA